ACACACACACACACACACACACACACACACACACACATCAGGCTAAGTATTGAGGTAGACACCTATTAAAAAAATCTGGTTTGTCTAAAAGGGTCAAAGTGAAAAGTCTGGGCAGAGAAAATGACCTCACACCTTGTTGATGTGTGTCAGTTTTCACAGATGGCTCAGATGGCCTGAAGGTGCTACTTTTCACCAAAGAAATTACCTTTTGTTCACGTGTCAAAGCGTTCGCTGTGAAGCTGTTGACAAGTATATTTACTTGAGATGTACATCGGAGTCTTTTAGGTTTTAGATTTGTTTTAACACCAGCAGAAATTTAAAAAAATGGACAATATAGATAACTGTGAATGATGCATGAGCTGCTCATTTTTGAAGAGGAGGCCTCTGTTTTAAAAAAGTTTGATTACTTTTCCTGTTCCATGTTTGAGATCCAGTTCCACATAGGCCTGATGCTTATCAGACGTAACTAAAACTGTCACAAAACCACAAGTCCCATTAGACTTGAACATGAAACCATCAAGCTGGCTGGAGGTTTAGGACTCAAAATGCAGGCTGACACAAGAAACTTCAAATAAAAGGGATTTATTAAGAAAAGAACAGGGTGTCATGAGCAAACTTACAAATGGAGCTCAATGAGACTCAGGAGCCAAGAGACCGTGATAGAAAGTAATCCAGAACTGATGATAATGGAGAAAAAGAAACAAGACTGTATATAGAGCAGAGACTGATGAGCTGCTGGAGGCAGTTGAACTGATTAGAAGTGACAACAGGAGTGAGTGGCTGACTGGCGGAAAAACACTGAAGAGCTGACAAGGAGGAAATGAGGAAATGACACAGAGAGCACAGAGAACAAGAAGGAATTAAAATACAAAGAATTAAAACAGAAACACAGGGATCCTGACAGAAAATGTATGTAACCCAATAATGGATAACAGAGGAGTTTGATGAGTGACCTCATGCTTCTAACATCAGCATATGTCTGCAATCTTCGCAGTATGACAAGAACTGGTAAAAAGAAATGTCATGACCACCTTCAATACAACTACTGGAAGTAATAAAAGCCTAACATTTATTGAAGAAATACAGATCACCTGCCAACTTTCATGTCAGAGTGACGCTAAGCTCATCTTATACTTATAAATGAGCG